TCCAATATATGTCAATTTTTGACAGTTTTGTAAATTTCTAATATTAATTCGGCAAAACTTGTAAACATCATCAAATAAATCGAACTGTATATATTAATTAATATCAATGATAGCTTCATTTAGAGCAATAAGAATTATCGTAGCAGTACATTAATAAAAAATTAAGATTTATTATTCAGACATAAACTCATCTAAATTTAATCGATACACGTTAATATTTTTTATCTAAAACAATAAAAATACAAATCAATAATTTTTTATCTACTTATCTATGATTTCTAGAAATTCATATAGCTTCTAAAGTATGATTTTTAGAATCTCCCTACAATATTTTTTTATTAAATCCCGTAATTCTATCTTAAATCTCAATAATGTCTGCTGTTACGTGTCAGATTTTAGAATTCTTAGGTCATGATATTGACATATTTCAAGTTCGAAGTAATACTTGGAAAAAAGGAGTAATCGCAGTTTTTGGAAGAAACTATATCACTGACCATACATTTTTGCGTACGTCATCCTCTGTGAAGTTCACGGTCGGTCATTTGTTGGCTGGTCCGTTCACCGCGAACCGTTCGTCTCTACGCGTATAATATAATCTGCTATTTAAATTTCATGCGTTTCTTTTTTCTGGTTTCAATCACTTCATTGAGGATTCTTCATTCTATAGATATTTCAATTGTTTGACGTATATATGTAATAGTCAGTCTGTACATATAAGTAATAAAATTAAATTTAAATAGAACGTTTCTTTTGTGTGTGTGTGTGTGTGTGTTGCACCACTTTTTTCTGCAACTTAAAGTTATATGTTCTTCTTATAATAAATGTTTTTTGCATTGTGACATGAAATTTTTAAGTTTTTACTTTCAATAATAAATAAGAGATTATCAATAATAGATGAGAGAGTTGCATTACATCTTACAGATTTTGTTACCATGTTCGTTCCTATGTTACTAATTTAGGATTAATAAACTATTTTAATTAAAACTTTACTATTTCTCGTCATAAAAGGATTGAAAAATAGTAAATAAAAACATAACGGATTTTATTCGATTTTTACTGAATAATTTGTCTAAGAAATTACAAGCAAAATTATCTCATTAGAATTCAATGCAAAAAGATTACATTCTAAAAAAGTGTAACTGCATGGGATTTTGTAGAATTTTTCTCAAACACTGTAAAACTTTCGTTTAAATATTTGTTGTATATCACTTTTGATCCTTTCGACAATATTCGTCTATAAGCAAAATATGGTATACATTAACTTGAAGAATCTTTCGGTATTTTAATGTTTTATTATTTCTTGCATTGATTGAGCGTAAAAGTCCTATCTTAAATTTATATTTCATGTTTTATATAACATTGGTATTTGGAAATCAAAAGGAAGTAAAAATTTCGATACACATTTGCTATCCTAATTACGGTTGCAACCCTAATCGAAATGCTCATCCAACACTGCGCGCCCTGTAATTTTGGACATGATCAAAGATCATCGCTGACGTTCTTCGAATCCGAGAATTATGTTTCGAACGGGACACATGAGAGAGAAAGAGAGATGGGAAGAAACTGGTGGCTTGAAGAGCAGAGAAAGAGAAGAACTGCGACGCCCACGGCGATCCAACGGTACATCGCACCCGCTCGTAATGCTTGCTACGGCTGTTGTATGCTCTCGCTTCTGGAGAGAGAAGAGTAATAAGTCTGTATATAAATATGTAAATCCTCTAACGCCTTGTACTATGTACATCGCACTTCATTCTTCGTCAAGTTGAGACGTGTATGATCAGGATGTACCCTTATTGCAACTACTACTGCGCTTTCATTCATATTATCTTGAAGTATAAAATTATCATAAATTCGAGGTATGCATACAAAATATAATTCTTTGTATTATCTTATATGTTAATAAAATATACATTTTTCTCTCCAGAAATAAATATAATTCGTATGTATATACATGAATTTTTCGATGCAATTTATAATTTTATATTTCTTCAAAATCTAAAAGAAAAAGAGGAATAAAATATCAATATATCTTTATCTCGAATAACGCAAACTTTTACTGCATTCAATTGTGAATCTTATATATATGTACGTAAGTAATAATTATTAAATAAGGATTAATACAAAATATTATTTATATCAAAGAATGATTCAATATAGAATTATTCTTATTACTATATTATTTATCATTATACATAAGAATAATGTGGCACAGACTTTGGAGAGAAAGAGAAAATTTTCTGAAAAACTTTTTATAACTATGTATATCAACAAATTTTAAATTGCTTTATAAATGTAAATTAATTAATGTAATTAAATGTAAGAAAAAAATGGTTTGAAATTTTTATGTATAATATTTTATGTATAATATTAGTGTTAATAATAGTGTTTGCAAATGACATTTATTTTTAAAATAAAATATTTTTTAAAATTTATAAGATTTTTATCAACAAGATACTTTAATTTCTAGGAAAGAGAACCTTTTGTAACTGACGCGCCATCGACAAGCAAAGAACGAAAGATCCTGGTATATACTCGATGAGAAGAAGGTAATAGCACGATTATCTTCCGTCGTGTTTCTACATACTATGTTACCGACTTTAAAACGTAAATTGTTGATTTTATTATATTTAATATTATCATTATAATATTGTGCACAAAAATATGTATTAATAATTTTAAATTACTTTTTAAAATAATTAAATTATTGTAAATTGTATTATAGATATCTTTTTCTTAATATTTTTTAATTTGCAATTTATACTGTATGTTTTCGAGACTAAGTGTCCTTTTAAAATTAATCTACATAATGTATCATTTTTATTAAAAAAATGTGTTATTGAGTATATTATAATTTTTAATTATATATTATATATCACAAAAATGATTATGATTGAAATTATTAATAAAATTATTAAAAATTTTACTATAGGAATGATTCTAACATTGTATGTAAAACTTATTATTATATTACGTATAATATATATTGTACTTAAATTATATCTTAAGTACGCTTATTCTTAAGACGTTGCGTTTACAAAAAGTTAATATAAAATTTTACTTGTTCTGTGTGTAAAGTAATTATTAATATAATTCTATTTTTCCAATTGTACATTATTTTGTTCTGCCTTGTTTTTATTGAAAAATAAAAATATCAATGTACAAATAATATTATTTTACACAATGACAAAACAGATCAAATGCTAAAATTCGACCTTTCATATTTTGGTGGGTGTGCTTATCATTTTACATATTTGGAACGTCATTTGATTTGATTGTGCTGTCCGATAAGTTTGATCTTATTACGCGCAATATCAAATATTGTGCTCGATTATAATTATTAACGATTCGATTACATTCGATTGCTTACATTTGTGAGTAAAGTTGATCTTAAATTACTTGTTAATTTGTCAAAATGATGCCAAAGAAAAGCATATATTGCAGTAAAGCGTTGTTTAAGAAAACAAATATTTTCCTCATACTTTTTGTTGCAACAATTATTCTTTAACACAATACACAAAATTTTATATAATTTACATTTATAATGATGACAAACTACATCTTTTTTCTTTTAGTTTTATCTTGCGTTTTGGAAGCTGATCTGTTGACGGTGCAATCTCTGTAGTGAAACCTTAACTACTTTAACCTTTATCATGCTACACTTCAGTTTGGGAACTCGGGGGCTTCATTTACATCATGAGGTCTTATTGATCGATATTCTAAGTACACTGGCGCGCATAATCTACAGAAAAAAGTGCGCTTGTCAAAATAAAATGATTGAAAGATTATTACTTTGTCATTATTATGTTCATTATGTATCAAATGTGTAGATATTTTATACAGAGCAAATAATAAATTTACATGTGCATTACGATATAATAATTTCGTAACAAATTAATTTTTCGAGTTGTCAAAAAAATATAATTTTTGATTAGAAAGCATAAAAAGCATACTAAGCATAAAGAGAGAGAGAGAGAGAGAAGAATTCAAAGTAAAAGTATAAAATTTTATTTCGATTATCTTATATTTAAAAAAAATAAAAGTAAATATGAGAATATTATTCTGAATAATGTTTTATGCATTAATGTAAAAGTTTTATGTAAAAAAAATCAACGTTTTAAAATATGAAATATCATTAATAGTTTCTTTAGGAAAAGAGCATGTATATTTTTATCTTTAAAGCGTGAAATGATATGCTGCGATATAAAAACAGCATTGCTTATCAAAAATAAAATTGTAGCATTATACTTATGCGTAAAAAAGTATTAATATAATTTTAAATTGAAAAGTTGTGTCATGTATTCTACATTTTTCCATTTGCCAATTTACAATTCTAAATGTCATTATAATTGATGAATTTAAGGAATCTAAAAAATAAAAAAATAAAATGTGAAAATATTCAATTCTGTTATTTTATCATTTATTGTGAAATTAAATCTATATTAACGAGTATAAAAATGAAATAGATATAATTTTATTAATATATGCGTTGATTATCTTGTAAATTAAATTTTTGTATATCATGTAATACAAAAGTATAGGAAATAATTTTGTAACTTTATACATAGTAATTATTATTCTATTGTATAATATAATATATTATACAAGGTACAATTAATTTATGATTTAAAGTAGTGAATCATTATAGATTAAATTTTTCTTTATACTTTCGAATGTACATAATTTTAAAAATTAGTACAAAATTTTTAATATTTGTATATATATATATATATATATATATATAGGAATATATTCTTTCTGAAATGTTACATATAAAGAAGCTGAGCGATTTTATATATAAGATAGTTGGAACTTCTTTACGATTGTGCAAACTCTTATGTTTATTGCCGAGTAAGAATCTCTCGGTGCAATATATTAAGTTTAAGAGAATACTAAGTAATAGATGGCAGGATTCCTCCGTTTCTGGCTTTCTCGTTACGCTTGCGCTATCAGAGGAATCGTACGCGGAGCGCGCGGCTGTATAAAAGCAGCCACTTGTTGAGCGACACGCATTCCGCCGATTCGCTTCCGTCGCGGATATTTTCTGCTCGAGGACGGAGAAGAGAGGCATCTGACAAGTGACCACGACGATAGTTCCTACTTCGTCACATTCCTAGCTCAATTCGTTAACGAATAATCAACGCGGGACTTTCAATCAGGTCAGTTGATCATTAACAAATTAAATTAATGCACGGTAAAGAATAGGCTAGTTTTGTGTGCTATCTAAATGAATGCAAGTTATCTTAAAAACAAATCTTTATGTGCAGTAGAATTTTTATTGAATGTGAATTAGTTTAAGAAATAGACTTGCAAATAATTGACACTTCAAATAAAGAGAATTTACGTTATAAATTCTGTGAAAAAAATTTATACAAGATATCCGTAAAATAATCGGGACCAAATTTATACAATATTCAAAGAGGTCGTAGATGAAGAGAGTTTATGTACAAAAACAAATCTTTATGTGCAGTAGAATTTTTATTATGTGAATTAGTTTAAAAATAGACTTGCAAATAATTGACACATATTATTATTAATTTATGTCCAAAAATATTTTATTAAAAGGTCATAAGCGTTCAAAGATTCGCGAGCAAAACTGTTCTTATAACTTATTAAATAGACAAAACAATAATAAATAAAAAATGAGCCCTTGTAATAAAAAAATTAATCACTTAAAATAATATAAAAAGGCATATAAGGGCTAACGCAGATGGAACCCGTGATTGAAAATTAAAAGAAGGAAGAAAAACACTTGTTCTTCATGAAAATTTTTTTCTTTTATTTTGTATTTTATAGATGATTCTGAAGAAGGCCCGAATTGGTGCCCAAACGTCAATAAGCATTTTATCGAAGAGCAAGTGTTTTTCTTCCTTCTTTTAATTTTCAATCACGGGTTCCATCTGCGTTAGCCCTTATATGCCTTTTTATATTATTTTAAGTGAATAATTTTTTTATTAAATGGAATTGCTGACATATGTATTACAAATAATTCAAATATGTAATTATTTATTGTAATTATAAAAATAAAATTATAATAGAAACGACTCAAACACCAAAATTATTCGAACAAATCTAACAGCAGCAAAGACATGTGCTAAAAGACAGTATAAGTTAAGACGTGTGAATAATAATTAAGAATTATTTGTTTCCAAGTTTATTTCTGGAGTTATTTATTTACAGAATTTATGAACTATCACGAATTGTGTGTGCACGTGGAAAACAAAAGTTTATCTATAAAGTACAAGTTGTTTCTTTATTATAATATATTCATCTCTGCAAAAAGCTTTAAGTAAAATGTATACACAGCAATTGTTAAATTTGTTTATGTAGTCGTTAAACAAGAATCCCAATCCATGCGACTTATAAAAATATATGTCTAAATTTACAATGATATACTATAGATGCAACATTGGATAGTTGAGAAATTCGAGAAATTATTTCGACATATTAATCGCTGAGTAAAAAAAAATACTTTATCCGTATAATTAAATATTTAATATTGAAATTTGTTCGGCGAAATATTGCGTTATCATTCAAATTTAAAACATTATACCTTTTTAATACTTAATTTGTTTTATTATCTGTTTCATTAGCTAATTAAAACACAGAAAAATTCCAAATGTTAAACTTTTAAAAATAAATTTTTCTAACAATGAATAAAATAAAGTGCATGTATTAATTTAATTTATGCTTAGTTTATTTTTGCTAATAGTCTTGATAATTATATTTGTTATTACATGCTTCCCCTCACACACATATATTCTCTATACTTTGTACACATTATTTAAAATTTATTTCTATTTTCTATAATTTGTTAAAAATATATTTTTTTAATTAAATGTTAAAGGTTGAATGCAAATACAAAGATAACTGATTCGTTTATGCGTATATTCGAGAAATTTGATATGACATTAAATTACTCGATAATCGTCAAAGCGATTTGATGGTATCGCTGGCACTTACTGGCATTTTCCTCGTTGAATCGCGAATCACTGGAAGAAAATCCGCAGGCGGTCGACGGCGTCGCGGATAAATCTCTCGGCAAACCGCGCTACGATGGTGAAAGCTACGGGAAATTACAAAAGTCGGAAGCGGAAACAGAGGAAGGACGAGCTTTTAATATCGCCGGGCGTCATTCTGGCTTCAGATCCTCGTTGTTGCCTGCGATCGGTTCGATTTTCCATTCTACACTCGTCTCGCAATTCTTTCTATCTCTACAAGACGGATCTTCTCGTCAAAGACATGATCTCAGTCTGCCCGTGGTTAGAAGATCACTTTCTCAGCTTACGAAATTTGTTCGGCGCATTTAATAAGCGAAGAATCTGGACAATATTAATCTGAATCATGATAAGTTACTTTTGAACAAGAAGAAAACGGGAAACATGAGAAATTTTATAATTTAAATAATAAGTAGTAATTCCTTTTTTTTTCCTTCCCGCCAGTGATTAATAAAATAAATCAAATAATTTTTAACGATCCAACTGGCATAAAATATATCTTTATTGTTGGATAAACATCAAAATAAAATTAATGACGACGTTTCGACCCTTGTTTTGGGTCCTTATCAAGACTGACAAATTAAAATAAAATAACATTTAACCTTTTTAAAATTTAAAACATATTAAAGCACATATAAATTAATTGTGTCAATACGATCTTTCGACAAGATGGTAAACTGTCAGCACACATATCATTATGTCAAAACAAGGGTTAAAACGTCGTCATTAATTTTATTTTGATGTCTATCCAACAATAAAGATATATTTTATGCTAGTTGGGTCGTTAAAAATTATTTGATTTATTCTATAATTTAGGTTCCAAGTTGTATGATATAATATTTATATTTATTTTTTTCTTGAAAATATACTCTAAGCATCATTAATAATTCGTTATAATAATGAAAAAATCGACAATAGAAAATGGAAAGTAAAATAATACTAGTAATATAATATCATTAAAAAATGTCTGTTTAAAAATTAAAATTTATTATTTTGAATCGCTAAATCAAGTAGATTAATTCTCTGTATGCAAATCTTTTGTGTTTATCTTATTTTAATAGAAGAGAAAATGCATACCGGACGTTGCTCAATATCGAATTTCTTATTGCATCTATTAAATGAAAGAAGTTTATAATAATCATTAGAAAAGTTAAAGTTTTATTTGTTAACTATTGTTACAATTTTTCTAAGAGATTCAAACTCAATTAAAAATTTAAACTAGTATATATATAATTGTTTGCATTGTTTTATTGCTGCTGTTTTTAAATATAAATTCAAAATTATTAAATTATTATTTGCTTTGATTTTTACTGTAAAAAGTAATTAACAATAATTAAAAATAATTTTCAAATATTTTTCACAAATCATTGTATTGTGTTAATGTTATTAAAATTATGTCACTATATGATGGTAAATACATAAGAATATGTTAGATATAAATAGAATGTTAGATATAAATAGAAATATGTTAGATATAAATAGAATAGATGATATTTCCAATTATACATATATATAGATAATATAATCTTTTTATGTGTGGATTCTTTTATGTGTGTATGTTTGTATATGTGAAAGAGAGAAAGAGAGAGAGAGAGAGAGAGAGAGAGAGAGAGAAGAGAGAGAGAGAGAGAATGTGAGAATAATAAATACTAATTATAATTTTGGACAAAAAACGAAAAAAAGCTTGAATTCTTGTTTTTTATTTTTAAGAGTTAATTATGTTTCTGATCTTAAAATGCATTTAAAATACAGTTTTTTAATTTCTTTAATTTTATAATTGATAAAGAAAATAAAAAAATAATTTATACCATAAATCTGAAATATTTTATATTTTGCGCGAGTAAAGCTTTATAAAATTATACAACAAAATGTAAATAATGTAATAACATGGATTTTGACGTAATATTTACATTGTAAATAATTTGTAATACACATTGCAATAACATGAAAATTAATATAATATTTTCACGGCAATTCTATTAAATCCTGCTACTTAGATGATTGCAATAATTTTTTTTTTTTAGAAAAATAAGTATAAAATAATTAATTTGTTTTTCGCATCACACAAGATGAGTTAATAACTTATTTAATTATAAATGAACCGTTAAGAAGATTTGTGTATGTCTATGTGTGTGTATGAGCTTATCAATATATGTATAATTGATAAAATCACACGAAGTTACTTATATTGCCATAAATATATACGTAATACAGGATGTCAGGTAATAATTATTCCATTTATTGCGCGCAGGTAAACTGAGTTAAACCGAGTAAGAAAGTACTGTTTTACTATTTTCGTAATATTTAATGAAAAATTAATTAAAAAGGATCGGCCAATTCGCGCGAATACAAGCGCGTCGTGAGAAGAGAGAGCTTATAATGTTACGCGATTATATACTATTTAAAATATAGGTAGATTACTTATTAGACGATTAATTTATCACGGAACTTATCCTTATTTTATGTTCTCAATCTGTTTGTTCAGTTATGTTCTCAATTCAAATTATATTTAAATATTTAAAAAGTTAACCGATAAATTGGATGAATATACATGTACATAGACGGAATATTAAAATTTTACATGAATTCAGTTTTTCTTTCTGAAATAAGCATTGCAAAGAGAGTTAGAGTGAGAAAATAAGCAAGTAGATATATTCGTTTTGAGCGAATAATTGAAGGTATATAGGATGAATATTGAATTTCAACTAAAATCTATGATTGTATTTGAAGATTAAATGCATCACTGTTGCATTGACAAATACCTGATGACGACTAATAAATTGTAAGCCGTGATGAAATTCTAAGAAGCTCGACAGTCATGTGACGCTAGCGCGATCGATGATGAATCCGTAGAAATTAACTTGCAGACTCGCGTCCCGAATTTTCGTGTGCTATGTCAACAACGTTCGTTCTCTTGTAATCGCGTGTCGATGATGTTCGTGTAAAAAAATCTTGTCACTAAATTTTTTTTTATTTCTGCAAGTTTCGATTAATTTCTTTATCAGCTCCAAGTTGAAGAGCATGCGACGGGCATAGATCAGTGCGCAATGATTTTCATGATCTGAGTTAATAAGGAATCATCACATGCTATCGATAAGGTACGATTAATAAATCAATTGCAAATTAAAGAAATGATTTTTAAAAAATCACATAAAATTATATAATTTTGATATAAATTATTATTATTATAATTATGTGTTTATTATAAAATCTTTTTTGTTATGTATGTCATTATATTTTTGTTACTATTTTTTCAATAAAATATCGCTTATGACATTTAGCACTTGCAATTCTTTCTGAGGGACGGAGTCCTTTGTTTGCGCATTCTCTCGATTACTATTGTCAATCGATTGCAACAAAAAGGTTTTATAGCGTTTTCTATAAACCAAAAAATTAATTTTTTAATACAATATTATCATATTCATAATACAATATACAAGCCTAGGATTTTTTAATAATTCTGAATCTTTTTAGTTCTTTCTTTTTATCGATCTTCGCTCTCTTTTTTTGCTCTACAGTGCTAGATATAGCTTATAGAGATTATAATAAAGCGTTTTTACAGAATAGATAAATGTTTTATATTATCTGTTACAGATAGAATGAATTTGGAAGAGTACCGCAGACATGGTAAGCAAATATACATGCATAAATATAAGATTGAAAATAATAAAAAGTGAGATTACCATTATGCGCGAATTTATTTATCAGTGATTTGTATAAAATGACATTTAAATGTATAAAATTTAATACTGAGAGAGATAAAAATTAAAGTAATATGTATGATATTTTACAAAAATGTTAAAAAGATTTGATTACAAAAGCAGTGTAAATCAGAATCAAAGTCACGTGATAGAATCTGTTGCGATGAATAAATCAAGCTATTTCAAAGCAATGATTACACGACATTGAAACAGCATCAATAAATAGAGATTACCAGTAGAATTGGTAAAGACTTTATAGCTACGATATTGTTTCCAATAGAACATCGTGACAATCTAAATCTTCTGCTTCGGAACTAGGCGAGGCTTGGACTCGTTTTTCTCCTGCGATTTCAATCTCGGTCAATAGTATTGTTTCATCGGTCCCGGTAAATTAGATTTGACAATATAGTACACTTTACACTATAATATAGAATTATCCGATTATCGATAATTGTTAACAATAACAATGAATACAATAAATTGTTTTTTTAAATGCTTATAAAAAATGCCTGGCTAAACTAAATTAATAAACATAAATTAAAGTATATAGATAAATAGAGAAAATAACTTTAAAAAACTATTTTGAAACTTGTTCTCATTTATCACAGAGTGCATTTCAGTAATACAGCTCTTGTTTAAGACGCCATATATCTATATATCAGATAGAACACAATTACGTTTTCCAAATACGTTTTTCAATGAGGAATTGTGCGAAATAAAATCACCTTGGAAAAATCTTGTCTTTTCTTCGGCATTGAACAGCTTCTTGACACCTCAAACTATCTTTTGTTTCTGTTCGATTGCATTTAGTTGCGGGATAATGACAAATACGTTAAGTTTTAAGCGAAGAAGATTTGTAAACTCAATTTTTACAAGTTTATTTACAATGCTTACTATAATTTTAAATTCTATGTATGTTCGTATTTATCGCTTTAGAAAATTTGCGATGAATGGCAATATTAAATTAAAAATTACAATGCTGGAGTAAAAGAATGAAAAAAAGGACATAGTTTTTGCATAATTACTTTACTATTTTATAATTATTACAAATTGTTGCATGGCAAAATTTAATATACAATTATTATCATCATAGCTAATTTGATTTTATTATTTTTTATTAAACTCAACTATAAAATATAGTAACAAATTTTTAAACTTGTCATTTTTCGAAAGTATGCAAAAAGATTGCAATGTATAAACTAAGACATATAATTTACAAGAGAATAAATCTCGCTGCAGTATTATCTTATTTGGGAAAATTGTAAATATTTAAAAATTTTATAGGAAAGGAAATGGTGGATTACATCGCTGATTATCTGGAAAATATCCGTTCGCGACGCGTTTATCCAGCAGTTTCGCCGGGATATTTAAGAAATGTCTTACCATCGTCGGCTCCAGTAGATGGCGAGTCTTGGGAGGACATATTCACTGATATTGAGAGATGTATTATGCCGGGCGTGACGCATTGGCAGAGTCCGCACATGCATGCTTACTTTCCCGCTTTGAATTCACCTGCCAGTTTATTGGGCGACATGTTGGCCGACGCAATAAACTGTCTAGGTTTCACGTGGGTAAGCACAATTTCGTATATTTGTTTTTTGTAGAATATTTAATATTTAATCACATTTTCGTTATTCTACAAATGTAGTCGACGATACTCGTAATCAAATTCTTATAAATAAATTAAAATTAACACATTCTTTAAATATTAAAAAAAATTTTTTTGTCTAGAATCTAAAATAATAAAGATTTTTAAAAATTTACAATATATATGTAAAACGTTTAACAAAATACAAGATTTAAAACATATAGTTTGTCATTTGTATAATTTCTTAAAAGCTTATGTTATATATTGTACATAAAGGTGTTTTAATTTTTAATTAATAATATGGAGGAGTAATAGCGCATGCAAATTAATAATATATAGAAGAATAATTACAGAATAATTTATATCTACATGTCTTGAAAAAATTAATCGCCTCGATACACTGAAAAATAAATTTGTTAACTTGACTAAACCTTTCAACTAAATTACTATTTTGTTAAATCAAGATATATTAGTAGTAAGTCAAATATACGTTTTGTCAAATTTAATACGTTATATTTAATTTAAATATTTTTATGGATTTAATTAACAAAATAATATTTAGTTGAAAGGTTTTGTCAAGTTAACAATTTTTTTTCAGCGTACAATTTAAATTTAATGAGATTGTTTATGTAGGCTTCCAGTCCGGCATGTACCGAATTAGAAACGATCGTCATGAATTGGTTAGGCAAAATGATCGGGCTGACTGAAGATTTTCTGCATCGACCTGGCGGTTCTGGTGGCGGTGTTATTCAAACGACGGCCTCAGAAGCCACGCTAGTGTGTTTACTTGCAGCCAGAACCAGAGCTATCAGGAACGTGCAGGAGAATGATCCTGATCTTTTAGCGACGGAGATCAACTCGCGACTGGTTGCTTACTGTTCGGATCAGGTCTGTAGTCGCAGGTTTTAATTAAGTACAAGAAATTTAGAAACGTATCTCTGAAAGACAAAGTAAGAGAACACACATTTTTCTTTTGACATTTTATTTAGACGTATGCGACAGCTGGGAACAATCACGTGAAAGTAACGAAAAGAGAAATAATTAACCTTAATAGCAGTGAAAATATTTCATATTGCGATGATTAAAAATAGCAAGGCGTTCCTTTGAGAATTTTTTTAAAACTGCACTTAGATACATTACATGAATAGATGTGTACCATTTGTATTGAAATAAGTTTCTCTTCGAATATTAAAACATTTCGTTCTTTGATAAACATATGAAATAAATAAAAAGCGTTTAACAGCTCTTTTATTTGCAATAAATGTTTTTATATTCTAAAATTAGTTATTAATATTTTTTAAAATGTTACATTAAAAATATTATATTCAAGCTTTTATGAATAACAGTAGAATAACTTTAAAATCTGTTTTATGAGAAAAGTTATTAGAGTTTACGCGGAATAAAAGTATTTTTTAAACAAAAGATGGAATAATATAAACATTTTTAATTTGTTATTAATTTCTTTCGCATTTTTATTGTAACTTGTTGGATAGGCACATTCGAGTGTGGAAAAAGCTGGACTTATAGGACTGGTTCGAATGCGATATATCGAATCCGATAGTGAATTCAGCATGAGAGGAGAAGCTTTACTCGAAGCATTAACACGTGATCGAGCTGACGGATTGCTTCCTTTCTTTGTAAGTTTCTACTAACGTTTTATTTGTACTAAATATAATTTTTTGTGGCTAATATTTTGCGAATATAATATATATAAGATATACGTATATGTTTAACGCATTTGAATCCAAACAATTTATTAAATATGTTTAGTACCACTTATTAATCATTCTTGAATAAGTCGAATATATAATTTAATCTTACTCATAATTTTTAAATTATTGAGATTTTGATGCATACAATAATATGAATGAGTCAATGAATTAAATAATTTATTTTTATTCTTATGTTAGATAATTTTTATCTTCTCTTTTTCTTTTTTCCTCTTTTTTATTTTCGATTAAAATATTTATTGTTTTCTAATTTTATTTTATTTTCCGGATAATAATTCTACTGCATATTTTTTTTCATAAGTTTTAATATTTTTTAATATTTATTTAATATTAAGTTTTTCAATATTTATTTTATTTTGTAACTTTCTTATTAAAATTTTATTATAACGATCATAGTAGATTGTAACATCGCAGATTCTAATAATAGCACAGGAACATCGTGAATCCGCGGTTTGTAATGTTGCGTCGCGAGCGCAAGCTTTTACAAGCTAGTAGTACAAGTATATCTATAGAGCGGCCAGTCCGCCAATTATAGATATATCCCTTACAACAGACGAGCGCGGGTTCAGTGAGTCAAGCCAGCTCTAGTTAGTCCCACAGTAGACGTTGCGCTAGTTAGTCCCACAGGAGCTCCCCTAGTCCGATTTGAGTCTTGCAAGTTTGTCCGTAATAAAAATAAAATACTTATAATCGAGACTTTTCACAATAAAATAATCTTTTTCTGGGGTTTATTTTGTCACTCATTACTTTTTCATGACGACAAGAGATATGTGATCAACAGTGAGTTTCTTTAATATCGGTTAGAATTAACTAGATTCTGTCATGGAAAAAGAGAAAAAAATAGTATGATTAAAATTAATAAGAGAAATAAACTGAAATGAAATTGTAGGTTACTTGTATTATATATTTTATAGTTATATTACATAATGTATTCATATATAATTCATTTTATAAAAGTTCTTTACATATATGCAAACATACGGTATATATTATATCGTGTGTTAGCATATATGTATATAACTTTTATAAAAAAATTAAACTTTTCTTTTTAATTAATATTACCTGTATTACATGTATGATCGTATTTCTGTACATACATATTATTTTAAGAATAAATTAGACTTATGATATAAAAAATAAATAACTCATTATTCTACTTAATTATTAAAAAAACATCTTTTTTTATACATGATGTATGTATATACATAAAATGACTTTGCATATATAGGTATGCGCAACTTTAGGCACGACTGGTGCATGTGCTTTCGACAATCTGAAAGAAATCGGGCCAATATGTGAGTATTAAATTTACGTAAAGTATCTGTTATATTTATTACTATCAATTTTTTGTACAAATATTTTAAGAAAATATTTTATAATAATTTTTAAATATTTTATATGCTATTATTATAGGTGAACAAAATGGCTTATGGTTACACGTCGACGCAGCCTACGCGGGTAGCGCTTTTGTGTGCCCTGAATTTCGCGGTTGGCTTCAAGGTGTGGAATTCACCGATTCCATTGCCTTCAATCCAAGCAAGTGGCTCATGGTCCATTTTGATTGCACAGCTATGTGGTATGAGCAATATTAATAAATTTAGTTTTTTTATAAATTATGAAAATATTTACGAGAATAAAATAACTTTCTTTATTGATTTAGTAGTAATAGTCTGAATATTTGCATAATAAATTTGATTTTTAAATAATTAAATATTATCTATAATTTATAAAGAAAATTATTACAATATGTCAAAACTTTCAATTTTCCTCATATATACTACTAATATTAATTGATTGCACGTGATTAATTAAAAAAAAAGTACGTCACGTGCTTTGAGAGATTATCTATCATTTTTCCATTTTCGTTTTATTAGTTGAATTGCGGAGGTCATCTTTTTCTTTTCCTTCCGCAATTTCCTGTCGAGGCTCTAACGATCGAACGCAGTTCACAATCTTTCGAAATATTATTTGAATTGCGTTTAAAGCCGATAGCTTTCAATTCACGATTTAATATTTTTATCATATTGTATTGCGACATATTTATTAGAATATTAGAATATAGTCTCTTTTATATTTACGCAGAGTTCTCTCTCTCTCTTTTTCTCTCTCTTTCTCTCTTTCTCTCTCTCTCTCTCTCTCTCTTTCTTTTAAATAGTAAAAATTATTTAAAAATTTATTTTATTCTAGTACAGCGATAATTATATTTGCAAAATATAAAACATGATTGCAAACAATTATAAAATAATTATATTAAATTATAAGATATCTAGCAAATGCGTAAAAAAATATATGGAAATCAGAATCTATATTATATTATAATAATGAATATTACGACGTAAATGGTACGCAGATTTTGCAAGTGACTGAATAAAATATATTTCAGGAAACGTGAATAAAGCATATTAACAAGCGAGCTAACAAAAGCACATTTCATATTTATAAATATTACATAATAAATATGCATAATAAATTGGAAAGATTGATGTATAATCTTATCATAGGGTTAAGAACAGCCAGGCGCTGCACAGAACTTTTAATGTGGATCCGCTGTATTTGAAACATGAAAATTCAGGTAATTTTATAATACAATAACTTTTTTTGATAATTTAATCGTCAGAGATTTGGTATTATATAAGTACATATATAAATTCTGTTAATACTGAAAATTGATTAAGTATAAATTATTATACACTTATTTTAAATATTTTATATTTTATTATTGATTTGTACGGATGTATGTATATACATATATATATATATATATATATATATATATATATATATAACGGTTTTTAAATATATATAAAAATTAAGCAAATATTAATATTATTAAATACTTTTATCTTTTTATAAATCTCATATTAATTATATTAATAACATATCGTGTTATTATTAATAAAAGTAGAATAATATAAAATTGTTTTTTTGGTAGGTCTTGCTATTGATTATATGGTAAGCAATATCTGTTATAAATTCTTGTATTTATATTTTTTATTTTCCAGATAAATTTTTAATTCTTTATTTCAATATTATAATTTTAATATGTGGGGGATAAATACAAAAATAAAAAATTTGATATTTCAAATTGTATCCCAATGCCGTATATCAAGAATTTGAGTAATACTATCGAGCGATTTATTGTAAAAGCAGGCTTAAACGTTATCTATACGATACCAAAGAAATTAGATTATGTAATAAAAAGAGGAAAAGACAAACTTCCCAAAGCGGAGATGACTGAGGTTGTTTATATTTATTTAATTAATTTATATACATTAATTTACGCCATTTATTATTTTTTAAAAATGTGCTTTTTATTAATAATTTATCAACATTTATAATTATTACTTTTTGATTGTAGACTTGATAAGGACCTGAACTAAGGTCGAAACGTTGTCTGAATTTTGAATAAATAACTAAAGAATAACATTGCCAGTTGTGGTCGGTTTATTAACACATTTTATATTTTTATTTTTATTTCACTGGCGACTCATAAATTACTCGTAATTATAATTTTAGCACTGGCAGATTCCCCTTTCCAAGAGATTTAGAGCTCTAAAGCTATGGTTCGTTATCAGGAATTACGGAATTACTGGTTTGCAGAAACATATACGAGAGGTAAATAAAATAAATGTATATTTTTGATTAAAAAATTAAATCTAATAAATATGTTTAAAAGATTAAATTACTTTGAAGCTAATTAGCGTTCTAATTTTTTGGATAAATTACATATATAATATAAGTATAAAAATAAAATTTATAGGGCGTGAGACTAGCACAAAAGTTCGAAGCTTTAGTCTTCGCTGATGCCCGTTTCGAAATTCCTGCTCCAAGACATCTCGGTCTAGTGGTCTTTCGTCTTCGTGGCGAAAATACTTTGACTGAACGTTTGCTGAAGAAGCTCAATTCACGTGGTCGATTGCATTGCGTACCAGCAGCCTTGCATGGAAAATACGTCATCAGATTTACAGTTACTTCGACAAAGTATGTTTTTTAATATAATTCAAGAATTAAAATTAAAAAATTAAAATATTTCTTGTAAGATTTTGAATAAATAATATTTTTTAATTATATTTTTTTTATATATTTTAATATCTGTGCGTTTTTATCGTCGCATACTTATAAGTAAAATAATTAACTTATTTTTTCAGCACGACAAACCAAGACATTGTAAGGGATTGGGCGGAAATACGAAATACCGCGAATGAAATTTTGGGTGTTACTTCCGGATCACCTGTACGAGCCAGAGTTCCTCTTGGAGGTAATAATAAATCAGGATTCAAATTGTTTCAGGCTACTTAATAGATAAAACCTATAATAACAATAATTTGAACTAATTCTTTTGAGAGTAAAACATTTGCATTAAAATGAAATATAGATATACATATATTATTATGTTTGTTTGTCTATTGTGTCTATACTATTATGTCTCTGCCTAATATATAATAATGTATGATAAATTAAAGTTATTTTCTCCACATAAAAATGAGTTGATAAACAATTTTTTGTAATATAAAATATAAAATTGATTTTGATCTGCAGACACGAGACAGAAGAATGAAAATTTCGGATCAAGCTTACTGTTAGCCAATTCACCGATGTCACCGAAAATCGTGAACGGTAGTTTTGCTGCTATATACGACACGGCCGATGTATTTGAAGAATGCATGAAGACTTTTGGGAAAATTAACCTCGAGGCGAAAGATAGTCCAGGTAAATACTTCATATTTTGTATGAGATGAGCTGTAATTATATTATTTAGAAATATTTTAAAATATGTATATATATGTGTGTGTAGATATAAAAATGTTTGCTAATACAAATTTTAAATGTACTCTAATTAAAGAGAATTAAAAAAATAAGATTCATAATGTGCACATTCCTTCTATAATGACAAAATATTTAACATTCATATATTTACAGATCGATATATCATTTCATGTTTATGATTTTAGCCATGCGCCGTCGTATTCGTGGGATACTAATGTCAGGCAAACAGTTTTCATTGGATTCTCGCATGGATCTTGTTCAGGTATACTTAAATCACAATTGGTAATTTTTATTTTTACACAATGAGAGTACTTTATATAAAATTATATTGAATAATTAAATGGTATTAAATATATGTTTTGTAGGGATACGTTTGCAGCCGTCCACGTTTGGCTTCTCCTTCCGAGTTACCATTAATGAAAGAGGATGAATTCGCTGGAGCGTGCGAATCCGACGTCGATAAAAAGAATGAATCTGATAAAGGTACATATGTACATCAATTATTATAAATAAAATAAAAATAAAATAATACATTGCAGAATCCACAATATAATTATTATATTATAGATGAATCACTTGGTCATAACAATTGGGAGGCATCTGATAGTTCCGCAGAATGTGAGAAGAAACTGTCGCAGGCAGGTTCAAGTTACGCAGTGGTAAACGGTGCATTAGTCAGTACCGATGTCGAAAATAATGGCGATAACACGGTGACCATCGCTTCGGCCAACGTAGGTTTTCCTAGAAGTGAGACTATAGCTGCTATCACTAGTAGGCCCTATACAGGTGATGTAGAGCCCATTCACGTGTTGAGAGAGAAATGGATAAAAGGAAGGGAAACGAAGACGATGACGGCAATAAGGAGTTCTGTAAAAAATGTGGTCACTACTCTACACGTCAGTAATTAGTCCGGCATTCTGTATTCTTCACAAGTTAAAGATCGTACTCATTTGCACTCGAAGCCACCACATTCTTGCGCGTTTGCAATCTAATTTTATGATATAATTCTTGCAACATATCATTAGCCTGATTATCAAATAGAATTAATGAATAAATTATGCCTCATTAAATAAATCTTGGAGAAATCGATAACTCGTCAGAAATTAAAAGATTAAATTCAAAATTATTAAATAATTTTAAAACGATCTATATTAAGACATCTACACAGTGTTTTACAATTTTTTTATGGCTAAAACGTTTCTGTAGAAGAAAGTTTCTGAAATAGAAAAATTAAACATTTGATAAATAGATACATACAAATTAGTTTTATTAAAATTATTAATTTATTTGATTTGTAATTCTTTATTAAAATAAAAATTTATAAAGCACTGTTCTAAAATGACAAAATAAGCAATGACTGTTTTATTTTCATATATTGCTATGGTTCTCTTTATTCGTTAGAAAAGCTGTAGTAATCAAAACGGCGTAGAGTGCAATATTTGTAAAAACTGTATCAAATAAATGCATAACATGACAAAATATTTAATGGTTTATTAATTATTACTCGCACTCTTTTAACTTTTTTTTGCAAAATCTTAAAAATATATTAAAATGGTGCAAAAAATAATTGATTGTAAATAAGCATCTTATCAAAAAATTCCTGCAAAAATATTTATAATTAACGTCTAAAAATATTAATAAAATCTAATATATTATATTATATACTATAAAGAATTAAAAGAAACATCAAGTTTTAAGGTAGAGAAATGATTGTATATCTACAGGAGTTAAAAATATTTTTTTGTAACATTAATTTATTTATAACATTTATGTATACAAATCAGAACATTTTGTTTAATCATTTTCTCTGTTTATATCTTCTGTTTACAGTATTTTATTCATTTTAAAACTTATTCCTTATTAATAATTATTGATAAAATAATAATACATTAAAATGCTTAAAATGTTTTATCTTGCTGATTCTTAATGTAACAAACTTTATTTTGTAAAATTAATTATAATGATCAATAATATGATGATCATAAACATGGTCGTATATGTAATTTTATGTAAAACATTTTATGACTTATTCATAAATTTAATTGTATAATTATATAATATAGTTTGCAAACTGTTTTTGATAAACTGATTTTATATATACGTGTATATATATTTATATATATACACAAGGTTGGGCAGATATGTATCTTAAAGTATCTGAGATACGTAGTTAAGTATGAATCTTATTTAAATACAGTATTTAAATACCAAATAATCAAATATTTCGAAGTTTGTAATTAATTATTAAATTTAAATGTATCTTATATATATATATATATATATATATTAAATTATTTATGTAATTACATATATATATATATATATATATATATACATATGCTATTATGTTTATTTTAGTTATTATTATTTTATAAAGTTTAAAGTACAAATAAATAAACTTATCTTTTAAAGTGTTGAAATTAACTTACTTTTGATATTATTTTCATATAATTCTACCGTCAGACTATATTATACTTAATATTAAAGTAATTACAAAAATATTATCTACTATTATTTAAAATATAAAATTTTTTAAATAATAGTAGATAATCTTTTTGTAATTAGTTTAATATTAAGTTTATATTAAAAATATTTTATCGGCTCTCGAAATAAATGCATTATATATATAAATATATATACATATATATGTATTATGTATTAAGGATATTGTATATAAGAAAATTTAAAAATATAATTGTGTATTTAAAAGTATTTATAAATGTATTTAAATACAATTAATATTTAAATATATTTTAAAACCAAAGTATTTCAATAGTATTTGAATATATGTCGAACAGTATCTTGTATCTTGTATTTAAATATTTTGTTTCGAAGTATCTGCCCAACTCTGTATATACATATATTTATATATAAAATTAGTTAATTTAGTGTTCTAATTTTCTTAATATAGTGATTTTTAATGTTATATTTTTAAATTAATTTAAAATCAATTAAATCTGGAATTGCCATTAAGTAATAGCATTACAAAATAATTTTGAAAAATTGATTGAGAGATAATTAAATACTTATATAATAATATTAATATTCAATGTATAAACGTATTGTTAATATACTGGCAATAGAGGAAATTTATTTAATTCTATTAATTGTAATATCCAGCAATCTCATATAACACTTCAATTAAGTTTTTTGCAAAATGTATAATATATCTTAACCTTTTTACCGCTTGCGACACAAGTGATGATACAAAATTGAGCATTAAGGCATTAATGAATTATCTTTCATCTAAGAATTATTTTATTATTTAATATCATTAAATTCAAAATTAAATATATATACCTATTTAGCTTAAGTTAGCATTCGTTATTTATAACTGAAAACATTTTTTCTTGCAAAGCTATTTACAAATTTGCGACAGAATATGCCGTAATAATAAAAGCAAAGAGATTAATGTTATAAATACATTTTAATAAGAGAAGGCTTTCTTTGTAATCTCATATAAATAAGATTTAGCTATATTCAATTAATAAGGAGTTAAGTCGATATTTTTGATGGATATTCACAAAAATAGATTAAAGTCTACTGATATGGTAAAATACGTTAATTATTTAACGATTCGAGAACGAGGGACATGTTTATCATTTTACATTTTATCAATGTAGGCGATAACAAAAATATATAATGTTCATCGCCTTTTACTTTTACATTTACAAATAATATTTAACATGTCATGGCTTTGTGTAATATATTCTAATAAAATGAAAGTTATCTCTTTCAATTATTTCTTATAGATATAAACTAATTATACAATCGCACATGTATCGTATAGTAGTACAATATTAAACAAATACAATGTATTCCAATAATTAACCCCTTAACCGTCATTTTTCTTGATTTATGCAACAAAATATTTTTTTATTAATTTATCGTAAGACAAATATTATATTTCTGATACATAAAATTAAAAATTTAATTCATCGGGTTAAAGGATTAAAATATTCTTTCTTATATCTATATTTTCTCGTCTTTGCGTGTCGATGCTTTCCTATGCTAAATAATTCATATCGCAAGTAGATTTGCTAATTACACACGTGGATACTTTTCAGCTGCGAGGCCAGGTTTAGTACCGATTACTACTGATGAGCGAGGATTTGAGATTGACATTTCTGTGTTTCCGTTGCGATTCAGATGTATAACGAGGAAACGTGCTCTCTGGATTCGTTTGGTTTTTCCAACATTTGTCAACTAACTTTTTAACATGTTTATGATTATAATAAAATTATAAAATATTGCTAGTCAGAGATAACTAGCCAAATTTTAAATTGCAGAATTATTTTTAAATTTGATGTATGCATTTTACGAAATATCCTATATATGCATTTTAACCATATTAATTTAATTAAATAAAGCTTGATTTAGCTTACCTCTTATTCTTTTATATATTATAATAGTATATTCTTTAACTTTACAATAAAGTGTGACGTGAGTAGTGACATTTTTATTATATGTTAAAAATATTCTCGTCCCACCATAGATAAAAATATTTGTAAATATAAATAAGCTTTAAATATCGCGTTAAATTTTTATTTAAATCAAAAAAACCCATTCTCATAAGAGAAAGCTAATATCGATTTATAAGCCATTGCATAAAATCGAGTATAATTAGCACAATTCAACCCGAGCAGTTTCCTCGCGTGAAAAGCGCTTATATCTGACATAAGAACAAGGCGCGTTAAATTGAAGGGACGCTGGATGAAATAGATTGAAGGGACAGAGAAGGAAACTCAAAGAGTTAAGGGGAGATCTAAGAGTGATATAAATCGCGGTGTAGAACGGATTAGCCTCGCAGCCGCGCGTGCGACAATGAACAAATGACGCGACACGAGCCGCATGGCTTGCCAGAGAAACGTCGGTCTGCTCGCCCATCCAAATGTCAAGCAAGCACCGAAGCTTGTTTGGCAAGAGGCTCCGCTTCGAAAGCCTCTCTGTGAGGACATGCGCGTTCAGCTTGGCCGTGCCAGTCGCGAGCGACTCCGTTAATAATCGACGATTGTATTCGGCAGGGATGACGATTGCATCATCATCGAGTGGCAGTCGGTGACATTTAACATCGGTGATTTTTGGTTTTTTCATTCATTCCTGACATTTTGACATATTTTTTAACTTTCAAGAGATATCATTTTAGTTCGTTAAACAATAAAATTATTTCACCAATTTATTTTATATTAGAATAGGAACGATATATTTAATTTGACCCAAACTAGCCAAGAAATTTTTATTTTATTTCCACAACGTTTCGACCATCTGTTTTTGGTCCTTTTCAAGTGAAAAACTAGAATGGTACAATTAATTAAAATTAATAAACATTTTTGATGACATCAATTAAATTAAATATATCGTTCCTATTTTAAATACCACTAGCGACGTTTTAAGTATTGAATTTGATATTTTATATCGTTGGTGAATAATTAAGTAAAAGTTTATATTATATATATGTAAGTAATAATTATACGCGAACGTTAAAAACTGCAGTATTAATAAATTCATTTTTATAAAATACTTATTGGAGAAGTCACCGATGTATCGGACTCGAATGCCGCGATTGTATCGATGATTCAACAATTTTCCTTGCTGAATAATTAAGATTTGGTCAAATGAGATTAAGCTCGATTTGGCAGCTGAATATGATATTTATCATAAGCGAAAGGCTCGTTAATTGCGGCACAAACGAAGCTGAAGGCCCACGTTGTGCTTTGCTTTTCGTCTGTTTTGCGTTGCATTTATCGGGGTGGAAGGTATCGTGGGTTATTTAAAGTTGTCATAGTAGTTATAATTGTAATTTTTGTTAATGCTGTTATTGTTCTTGTTGTTGCATTCAGAGTCATGGGTGGAAAGAAACAGCAACACGTTTTTTTTTTTTTAAATTTGTACAAACGCGGACAAAATTTTGAATATTTAAAGTTTAATTAATTGCATATATAACTCGTATGTAATTCGATAACGTGTTTGTAATAAGATTTAAGGAGAATTAAATACATGGAACGCTGTTCGCTTTCGACCAAAGACTGTGGAAATGGAGTACTCGTTCACACGCAAGAATAATAACGACAGGGTCATGCAGTCTCATGCAAGGTGTTGCTGTACGGCTATTTGAAAGTCGAACGCCAAAGCTGTTCCTGCATACTAGATCCTAGTTAAATATAAGCTGTATGAAATATTTTATCTGAAATAGTAATGGAAACAGTTACATAAAATTAAGTTAAAATATTTTGAAAAGGCGTATTACATTTGACAGATAAATATATAAAATATAGTTTAATATGAAAAAATTGAAAAAGAGGAGTATCTTTACTTAGAAGAAGAATTCAAGTATAGCGAGGCTTAAAAAATCTTTTCTCTTGTGTATGTTTTCTTCATTTTTTCCTAAAAATATATAATTATATATACATACGCGTACATAAAATATTTTATATTAATTTTTACTATATGCAGATATGATTCAGATTGATGATTAAAAATATTGCGATTAAAAATTTGTCTGCGTTGACTTTCCATAATTCGTACAGCCTTGTGAACGCTACAATCCATGCACTCAACTTCATTTTTGTCTATGTATTACGCGATTTTTCTTCTAAGTTAAAACTTCATCTCTATATTGATTTATGCTCTAGAATATGCACCCGCTTTCAGAAGATGTTTGTAAAATTATCGTAAGATTTTTATTTTTATTATTTAAATTTCGAAACTCTTTAAGTTCTCAAGTTTTCTAAAAAAATTAAATTTAAAATTTTATAGTCTTGAAATTTTAATTCTTAAATTTTTAGAATTAAAACTCAAAATTTTTTTACGACGTTTTAAAGAGTTTTGAGTAGCAGTATTGAAATATTAATCTTTCTATTCTGTTTAATCTTTATATGTCAATAATTTAGAAATGCTCTAAAATTTTTTAAGCAGAAAATGGATTTTATGAGACTTATTCGTTTCAAAAAACGTGCGCATATATATATTTAAACAACTTCCGGAATTCGAAAACGTCATCCTCGCTGCTCGCCTCGGTCGGTTCTTTCTGCATCTGTCGGTGCTGTCTGTTGGATGTGCATGCTGCAACCATGCCGTCTAAAGTAGTCTTTCTATAATACAAGCTCGCCTTCTATCATAAACTCAAAGCCTTTCCGTCACTTCGAGTATGAGAATGTCTTATTAGAATAACGGAACGGACAAGGTATCTACGAGAAAATTGCATCGTTGAAGAATGAAAAGAATGAAAGAAGAGTGCATAGGTAAAGAATCAGGCTGTGTGATAAAGACAGAAAGAGAGAGATAGAGAGAGAGAAAGAGAGAGAGAAAGAGAGAAAGAGAGAGAGAAAGACGTTGTGTAAAGAACAGTGAGTGAGAGTTGTGATTGAGTGGAATCAAGGAAGCGTTTTGCTAAATTGATTAAATTTGCTTGACGAATGAGCGCCGTTTTTCTCTATAAAATATTATCATTGTGTAATAATTATTTGAAGATTAACATATAGATATATGCAATACTAAATTTAAAACTATAACTAGACAAATGTAGAAAATAATAACACATGTTTAAAGCGATAGCATAAATGCAAAAATATAATTTGGAAAGATGTCAATTCAATTTCTTTCTTCATTATATATTGCGTGAAATTCCAATTATTTCAAAAAATTAAAAAGTCACTTGTTTTTCAATACTTTTATACATTATTTGCATTATTGTATAAAAAATATTACAACTTTCAAATTTAATAAAACTTTAATTTATTTATTTAATTTTATTAAAAAATTAAAAATTTTCTGAGTAGCCTTATATGTAATTTTTTTAAAATTATACGGATCGGCGTCCATACGTCGTGCAATTGTACTGTGCTTTTCAACAAGTTCTCGCATCGTACGAAATTCGACCAGTCGCGTCGAACATTGTCGCATCAGAATGAGAGAAACGACACAGTGAGGTGCATTTTCGTGAGAAAAAACCGAAAGTTAGAGTATCCACATTGGTTTTTCTCCTTGTAGTACTATTAGGGTAAACGGTAAATCCATCATCGATGTTCCCAGACGACAGTCGAGTACATGCAACGACAATTCCGAGGAAGGAGCTCAATTTCCACAAATATATATTTTGATGAATAATTTGACTGAATTTTACTTGTTGATTTATTAGTGGAACATACTTTTTAAACTTTAAAATTGGGTGGTGCAATTAAAATTTATGGTATATTATGATAGGCAATATTTAAAGCATTAAGCATGTTAAATTTAAATGAGAAATATTGCAAAATGTTATATAATTTAGATAACGAAATAATTTGTATGTTATTATGTCAAAAATTACTATAGAAATATAAAATATTTCAAGTAAAATTATTGTATTAACTTTTATATTACAAATGTAGATCTATAATTTAAACAGATCATAGTATTTAGTATTCAATATTCAATAGATATATTTAATATATATTTAATATATATTTAATATATATTTTATTTTTTAAATATTTATTTTATATTTCTTCTTTATAAATTTCCTTCCTCAGAGCTTATCACGAATGTTTGCAAAAATGCTAGCCGTGCTTGCTCAAAGAGCAACTAACAAAAAACTTGAACTCGTGTTAAAATCGTCAGAGAAATCGATTAGATAGAGAGTCGGGATGATTGCTACACAAGAAAACGCTTAGATATTCTCGATGCTATCTAAGGCCAGTGATCGGAACGAACGATGCACACAAATTGTGCACTCTCGCAGTAAAAGAAACTTCACTTTTGTCCCTATTAATTATATATCACAGAAATAAATATCACAATTATATAATATCAAGTTTTGTAGAATGCAAATTAATAATAACTCTTTTTCAGCTCTCTTCAGCTTTTTTCCTAAAAGTATAACAAATAATTAATTTAAACCACATTATAATACATAATAAAATTTCTTATAAGAATAGAAAAAATATTATTTTTGCAGAGATCTTTGCTATTATCCATATATATATATATATATATATATATATATCAACGTTCAATATATTAAGCTCATCTTAATGCAGAATCATTTGTTATGCAGATATTATAGCTATATCTATACATCGCTATATATATATATATATATTCTGTTATAACGTGATTATATATTTATATTTCATCTCAACGGTTACAGTCTGTTATTATCTATCATTTAAACGCGGATTATAATTTCTACACGCGATGCGGATGGAGCGACGACGCGCGTTTGAAAGAGGCACCAAATTAATAATAACTACAACGACACGTCGATCGCCCACCGCTTTTTACTTTCTCTCAGCTTTCTTTTATATCTCGAAGGATCTAGGATCGAAGCCAGCTCGATCGTTCGTTCCGACAAGTGGTCGTATCGACTCGCTAGAATCTCTACGGAGGATATGATTGGACGCCACTGCGATGGGTGGATCGAATTAATTGGTGTTATACGACGTGATCATTGCAACGTTCTACAAAGCAAGCTGAGGCTCCTAAGACGACCGAGCGTAGAACAAGGATGGTCGACAGGATCAGCAGGAGTACGGGATTCGAGCGCGAGGTCGGGGGTACACGATTGCACATATCCTCCTCACAGAAGCACATGTGACCAGTGCCGGTACTTTCCATCATGCACACGTGGTCCACCATGAATAAGTTTATTTGTAGTTGCGAGGTGCAAGTCCTCCTCACGCTCTCATACGCTGCAAGCAAAAGAGAACGATAAGCAGCAATTAAATTCCTGCAACCTTATCAAGTGATTGTGTGATTTCATTCCTTTATCATTTATATCACCATATCTATATCATTTATAAGACAATAAAAGATATAATTACAGCAAAACTGTATAGTTCAATTTAAATAAGTTTAATTAAATTTTAATCGGCTAGATTTAGAGGGAATAAATTAAGAAAAAAATCTGATAGATTTAAAATATGTTTTTTATAATGGAAATATATAATTATTAATAATTAATAATACTATTAATAATTAATAGTATTATTAATTATTAATAATTATATATTTCCATTATAAAAAACATATTTTAAATCTATCAGATTTTTTTCTTAATTTTTCCCCTTCAAATCTAGCCGATTAAAATTTAATCTAAAATCCATTGTAGAAATTTAAATATATTCTTTCTAGAGTAAATATTTTATAGTGACGTTAAATACTCACGTGATTTCGCGTTGCGGACCATTTTCACGCAGCATCCATTGCAGGTCATCAGGGGTGGTTGGTCCCTGGGTAGTGCAGTGTAGTTGAAAGGGTCTTTGCATCTGAGATCCGTCCACGAATCGCATTCGTAACAGTAAATGGAGCGAGCTGTTAATAGTAAAGTATTTCAATGCTGCATCATTTTTATCGCACTCAGAAAAGAATGCACACGAAGTCAATACAACATAATGATTCATCTACGTAATAGCCTTCTTTTAATCCAGTTATTTTTATTTTCACTCCGCGTTTAGTACTAAATGTGGCTTTTTAGTATTATATTTATATTTTATACTTATAACAAATCTATTTGTAAAATAAATTAAATATTAAAAGTGAAGAGTATAATATTATGACCAAATTTGTAACAAAGCAAATTTTAAATTAAACAGCCATTTAGCGCTAAACAAGCGGTTATAGATTAAAGTATAAAAAAATTGAAAAAAATGGTTTTGGCTAACAAGTCTACAATCAAATACTTAAAAAATATTAATTAAATAAAATTAGTAATTAGCTCTGTTAAATTAATAATTGTAAACAAAGAAGGGCTATAAGAGCTATTATTAATTAAATATTTAATTTGAATTTTTATCTCGATTTATTATCTTAATCACGCTGATTGAGATATATATATATATATAGAGACTAATCTAGAGATTTTTACTTCGTAAACACATCGCTTTCCAAGTGCACATTTTCTCATGTAAAATTGTTTGCATCGATGAGCGCCCGCGCGCGCGTGAGCTCTAAAAAACAAATATCAGGCACCGTTCGCTTTTGATAGCAACACAATAACGTGAGTGCTTCGGCTGATGTAGTTGTGTGCTCGATGAAACTGGACGAGAATAATTAATATATATATATATATATATATATATATATATATATATTAAATTAATTATATATCGATTGACACTTGTGTAATTTTATTTCTCACTTTATTGGATTTTATGGAAAATTAATTCTCCACATTTCTCATCCAGTTCAAGGCGAAAGCGAACTCGGCCGATCAATTTTCGGCGGAGAACGCTTCTTCCTCCAAGGATTCCCTGGGAGTGAATACTCTGACAAGAGAGTCACTTGGTCGCGGACGCATCGAGCTTTTATATCGAGTTCCTAGCGAACGAGTCAGACGACACGGCACGGGCACACCGAGGAGAGTAAGCTGGCTTAATCACTCACTCTGGCACTCCGCACGACAGACGTTGGCAACCGCGAGTACAATTGCCGCTGAAAACGAAAGATTGGTTACTGCATTTAGGCAATGTGCGTCGGCAATGTGTGTACGCAGGTCACTAGTTTAAGTAACTTGATGTGTATATATATAATATATATATAATAATGCAAAATAATAGCATCGGTTGAACAAATTAGGAAAGTTTGTATATTTCCTCCACCATCAAAAAGTGATTATTAAAGGATTTCCTGGTATTCGTCAGTTCGTTCAAAGACCACAAAAGTCAGAATTTAATTCTAGATATACAGTCAAGACATGATGGAGGAAATATACAAATTCCCCTCATTTTTTTAACCAATGCTATTATTTTGTACATAACTATATATGTGTGTATATGAGTTTGGTAACAAGCGATAGTACTAGCGCTATTATACAGCCGAGCTACGGTGGCTGCGACTACCACTACAACCGCCTCTACTGCCTCTATAGCGCGGTTCTAGCGTTAATTGAAATTAATGATGTTGAGGACCGCTGACAATTGCGCTAGCTATAATAAATGCTATCACTCGATTGATCAAAAGAGGAATCGTGCGGCAGACACGTCCAGATTTGTCGAATCGTCATACAGTTTGAAGCTTGCTAGACTTTTTTATTCTTAGAGAAGTTATGGGTAAATGTATAATCTAATCAAACATTTGACGACCAAAGATATAAAATGTAGCATAGCATATGGAAAATGGCACATACATGGATATGGAATGTAACATGATGCATACAATATATAATAGGAACGCAAATAGAATACATAAAGCATACAGTATATATAGAACAAAGTATAGAACAGTATAAGTGACGCTGTAATCTAAAAATTGAAAAAAACTCAATCATATTCTCGGCTGAAAAAACTTGGAAAAAAATATGTCACATTATAAATAAAATATAAAATAATCTTTTCTATCTTTAAAAACTAGATTGAAAAAATAAGAAATAGAGATTTCATATATAATACATCATGTATCTCTAAATACGTTTTTATTAAAGTTCTTATTAAAGATAATACATACACGTACAGTAACATATATTTAGAACGATGCGAAGGTATAGTTTCTTTTGCATAGTTTTAATGCTGTAATATGCGTAGGTGTAAAAGGGCAAAGGAGTAAAAACTTCCGTGGAATATGTGTAAAAAATAGTAAAATTAGTGAGAAAGATTGCATTTCACTCATAGTTCACTACATAATGAAGAACGTATCATATTTAAGTATAAGCGCGTTATACAGCAAACGTTCTAAGTGATAAGTGAATTAAATCGATATTTTTGTTTGGATGGTATATTTTAGTGATTGTTATGCGGCAGGTGTATCAAATTCATCGTAATTTGTGGGAAATACAAAGCTTACTCGTGTGTGAGCATCAAATAAAAAATGTAACAAATGTGCGGATTTTACATAAGCAATAAAAAGACAAATGGAATAGAGAAATACTAAAATAGATTTGCAAAATGTAAAACATTATATCGCATGTTATTATATTTTATAAAATATTTTGCAAGATTTGTTATATTGGTAGAGATAAGATATTCAATCAAAAGCAATTGCATTAATAAATAAGAAAATTTGGAGATGCCTGACGCACTTTTCTGAAAATAAAGTTCCGCATTTGATTAAATCTAAAGGACACTAAATATTAAAATAAATTTGTAAAAAGTTATAAATTTAAAAAATTTATTTTTTAAACATTATTTTTAAATAATAAAGAAACGATATAATATTGATGTTTATCTTTCTGTTAGTCTTGTAGATTTGTTTCAAATGCGGATTTTTCTTTTGGGTATTACGTACGTACGTGTCCACGTACCTAACAGCACGGAGGCAGCGGCCGTACGCGTGTTGATTAATTGAATACGGAATAACATCTACGATCTAGACTCGTAATAAGATTGGTAAAAATTGTAAAAATTTATAAAGTTAAACACTTCCAGAGTTACCAATGTCCTGATGTCTTTCGCGATTGTCATAGTTGTTAAAATTATTAAAATTTGCACTTAAAAAAATATCCTGTGTTTCAATTATTTTTATATTGCTTAATAGTTTATTTATGACATTTTTTTATCTCAAATTATAAGCAACAGTATTATGTTGGTTATTATATTGGTTGTTCTCCAAATTCAAGCCATAGAAACTTAGACATTATATATGCTCGAATACTTGCGCAAGTGAGAAGCTTATTTTAACGCTATCTTTCTGCGAGAGATATAGAAAAATCTTTTGATATTAAGTGAAAAGCTCATGGAGGACGCACGCACACTTACCCACTATCAAGTGATTTGTCCACATCCTGACGGCGGATGTCCTCTCACTTCATGTATCTTTATGTCATATCGGGATTTTCTCAAACATCGAATGGTGCTCGATTAGCGCTAGCTGTTTCAGCCATATATTGTATTTCAGACGATCTTGCTGAAATTACGCAAATAAATCTTATAATAAAATTTAGATCTCTAAAGATTCGTAGATCTAACTTTGCGTTATATTAGTTATTATTTATGATAAATATTTTTTACTGATTTTATTCCAAGCTTTTGAGACAATAATTGTAAAATTAATTAGAATAAATATATGAATTAATAATTATTTATTTTCTAAAATATTTTTTTAAATTTTATTTTTCATTGCTTGATCAAAAAATGTTTTAATATAATTTATTACTAAGTGGAACTTAATTTAATATAAATATATATATATATATATATATATATATAAATAAAAATTGATTCATAAATGTCTCTTTGAAATAACGTTTTAAATTAGATAACATATTATTTTTGCGTTTTTATCTTATATTAACGCGTATTTGAGAATGTTGTAACGTCAGCATTCAAATTAAGGCACTTAGCAGTTGATTGAGTAATAACGCTCAAATAGTCATGATTATCAACAATAAAGAACTTCATGATTCTTTAAATGATAGTAAATTGTTACTTAAGATGTTTTTTATGTAAGATTTAAACACTAAATATATTTTACATTTAACTTATAATATTAATTAGAATAAATTAAATATCAAATAAATATATTTTCTTGTTAAAATAAATTGATAATTTTATGACATAAAATATTTTAATCATAAACTTCGTACAGTTGTTAATTTAATATAAATATATATATATATATATATATATATATATATATATTAAATAAAAATTGATTCATAAATGTCTCTTTGAAATAACGTTTTAAATTAAATAACATATTATTTTTGCGTTTTTATCTTATATTAATGCGTATTTGAAAATGTAACGTTAGCATTCAAATTAAGGCACTTAGCAGTTGATTGAGATAATAACGCTCAAATAGTCATGATTATCAACAATAAAGAACTTCATGATTCTTTAAATGATAGTAAATTGTTACTTAAAATGTTTTTATGTAAGGTTTAAACACTAAATATATTTTACATTTAACCTATAATATCAATTAGAATAAATTAAATATCAAATAAATACATTTTCTTGTTAAAATAAATTGATAATTTTATGACATAAAATATTTTAATCATAAACTTCGCACAGTTGTTGAATTGTAAAAAATATGTGAAGTAGAAAAGAATTGAGAAAAATTAAATCAAATAATATAATTTTGTAAGAATTGGCAAATATTTTACAATTAATTTTCTTCTTTACTATATTAAAAATATGCTATTTTTATTATACAGTAAAAATTATTTATTTAATCACTTCAAAATAGATTTCACAAATATATAAATAGAAATAAATTATATAGATATAAGTTCTACATATAATTTTGGTAAAAATTTATACATTATTTATATAAAAAGTTAATCTGGTATTATTTTATATTAATAATAATAGGTATACATAAAAAGATGTTTAACTATTCAGTGAATCATATGATTAGAATATTGATTGTTGCTACACAAAATTAGAATATTCTATTGTAATTAAAAAATGCATTGTTTTCAAGCTATAAAGCAGATTTTTAATGCATTTATGGACATTAAATTTGTACATACCTGTTCGTTTTTGTAGCATGGGATTCAAAAGCTTTGCTCGTGACAAACACTGGTGTCCTTTTTTTCAAAGATGTTTTGAACACAAAGTCTATTTATCGGTTATTATTATCCCTCACAATTTCGGATTTGATTGTCGACCCTGCAACAAGATCCGATACTCTTCTCCGCCTATATACACTCAAGCTCGGACACCTGAACACGTCTATCGACGAGTCTACATCACTGGTGCATGGCAACGGCGAAATAAATCTAACGAGGGCACGATCCGCACGATGCAGTTTCGCGAGATGCCATGATGCGACTAGGCGACCGCGATTATGCCGTAAAAGCGGAGTACACAGATGCTTTGAGGGAACTGACAAGCGCGCGAGTCGACGCGCCGATTAAAGCGCGGATTCAGGTCGATCAATATGACGAAGTCGCCAGTCTATGCCACGTGCTCACATTGCGGCAACTGTACCGACAAAGCTACTGCTACTTAACAAATCATACAAAGTAGCACAATAGCTCTTGCTAAGACTATGCAACATAAAGCATGGGAAATTTAAGTAGTTATGAAAGTTTTTGATCAGCCGTAGAAGTAAGACTGCAAGAAAGTGTATGAGAATTCTATAGACGAAGGTAAGCGGGTCGGTCCATTGAGGAAAAGCGCTTGCGCACTATGTGGCATAGATTTCTCGTGAAATTTGAAAGGAAAAATAATTGAGGATTCTATTAAATTAAGTACAAAAGATAAATACATGGTAAATAAAAAATGATGAAATATGTAGAAAGTAAAATAATCCGCCGCATGAATATAATATATTATAATTAATATATCAATTTTACATTACTATTATAAAATCGATAATTATTTTTTAAATTTAAATCAACTTGAGCTGTTATATTTTGCAATAGAATTTTTGAAGCTTTAAACTAACACAAAAAATCTTCAAAAATTTTTTTGAAAAATTTCCATCTAAAACTAAACATTTTTTCATTTTTGTTTTATTGTAATAATGACGGTAAATTTTTCTCTTTAAAAGTCTTGAATAATTTTTGTAAGAAACAGAATAATCTTAACATATAGTCTCACACAAAGTAATATAACAATAATATAAAACTGTAAATGAATATATATATAAAGATTTTTGTCTTAGACTTTAGAATAGTTTAATTCTATTTTTGATGTAGCAAAAATATAATATTTTAATTGGATTAGCTTTGCGAAAAACGCATTAACATAAGAAAAAATAATTATCAATAAGACAAATATTGTTAGCTCAAGTTGTTTTTAATTTTGTTAATTTATATTAATACATCAAATGTTATTATATTAATATATATGTATAATACGTACTTATTTTGATTTAATCTCTCTAATTTTCAATTTTTGTTAAAGTGTTGATAAAATATTTTGTAACTAGCATTTCTGAAAAAATGCTTATTGAATATGTTGAAGAGTGCTAAAAATCAATAAATTGATTTCTTTGCATCCAATCTAAAATAATTATTTCTCGACTGATTTTACATGCGTAAAGATTCTTTCAGAATATGATAATAAGAATCTTCTTGAACCATTAAATAAAGAGCTCTCTTTATGGTAATCATTCTTTTAAAAATCTCATTTACTTTTCTTAAAAATAATTATTGTTAAATATTAAATAAAATAAATACTTAACTATTTAACAAATTTAACAAAATACGATTTTGTTATTTATTTTTTTAAATCTTATCTAAAATAATGTGTTATCATTATTTTAAATAATCCTTATAAATTTTTAATTATATATTTTTACTATAATAAAATGATTTAAATGTCATAACAATAATGTTGCTTTTATATAATAACTTGAAAAAGATATCAACAGCAGCAAACATAGGAATCCAAACGCTTCTTCCTCTGCTGTTGGAATTATGAGTAGGTCGATAAATGGTACAACAACAAATAATTCTTACAATAAAGCAAATCCCTTTTTGTTCTGCCCTCGATATTTATTGGAACGTAATAAAATGTCGGCAAAATAGAATAGTAGTGTGTGACAAAAGTGATATAACCAAAAGATGTCGATCATGTGCAAAATAGAAAATCAGTTTCTTTCTACAAAGTATTTATTAATATTAAAATAATATTATATTTTTATATTGTACGATAAATCTCTTTTTAGTAAATTATTGTTTGATATTTATAAGAAAATTGTAAATGAAATAAATAACGGTATAAGAAGAATGTATGTAGTTAAATGGACGGTATTTCACTATAAATTGGTATGACAGTCGGTTTAACTATATATATCTTGCTGACGTCAAGAGTAAATTTACTGAAATTTCCCTTACAAACTATGTACTGCAGTCGAAGACCTGACCTCAAAAGCATCGAAATATCTGCAATACAATTAAGGCAACTAATATTATTCGTTTTATTATTACATCTCTGATATATAATATTGGTCTTTATTATAATACCAATAATATTTAACAAAATCATTCTATCTATAAAATATATTAAGCATAATTTAATAATGGTTAATTATAGAAAAAAGTAAAAATAATACCTACATTGTTTTATTATTTAATTAAACGTGACTTTAGAGACGATAAATTAGAGATTAAAAATATTTAATTATATAGAATCTCGATAAATCTAAAACGTATCATTAAATAAACAACGTAATTCTTTAGAAGATCAGTTTAAATATTGAGTTAATTAATTTCCAATTACAACTTTAAATTAAATAGTATTGTACATATATTATTATCAAACTAATGATCGTAATACTTTATTAACTTTTTACTATAATAACGCAGATCGGATTTCGGCTTTCGATGTTAAAATATTAGAGATTAGTCTAATCTCTAATTTATTAATTTGAAAATAATTCAAATGTCTATCTGTCTAAAATAATTAAGCAAAATAGATTTGTAAAAACCCATTTTCCTGAATACTCTTATAATGGCGGAAATTCCAATGTATTTGACAGTTTTTGGCAGTTCCTAAAAAGAACAAGGACGTGCTCAGGAGCCGCGAAAACCTCGAAAAATGCTCCGACTTCAATCCGTGAAAGATGCATCGATGCATCTCGGTGACGCGGAGCGTGCAAGTTGGCCTTGCCACGATTGGTCCGACGCGGCGGCCGCATCGGTGCGGTGCATCGCGCAGAGCTCGCGCGCCGCAGTGCACGGCTGCAGTCGAGTCATTATGCAGGTACTGCCTGTCGCTTCTGGCTTTAAACCCGCGACCGCAGACCGACGTTGAGTGTCGACTGTCGCCGGTGTTGACTCCTGGCGCACTTGCGTCCGGATGCATACCGTACTCATCTCTCGTCGCTTCGCGTCTCTCGCGCGCCGGCGAACCACCGAATCTATTATATCAGGCTGAATGTGTGATTCCTAGTGTGAGACAAAACGATACGCGACCGCCGTCATGATATGCCCTTGCTCTCCCACTACGCATTCATTAACCCTTTAACTGTATTTGCTTCATACATGCTTGCATGTAATAATTCATATATATAATTGCATTTTAAATAACTAGATTAATTTTGATAACTTTTTATATGTTGTATTTAAAATTTTGATTACAATACAAATAAAATTAAAACATTGTTTTTCGATTTATTGTAGAATTACTATAACAAAGATTATTTTAAATCGATTACAATCTTTATAATTTTATGTTTCATTATACTTTCGAATCTTAATGGCGTTTTTTTTCCAAAAATTAGATATACTAAGGAAATGTTATATATTAATGCACAATTAATTTAATAAGTCTAAATTAATATTGAGTAGATTATAATAAAATCTGTAAATAAAAATTTGGAAAACTTAAATTATATGTCAGAGAGAATCTTTTTCTCTCTCTTTTTTTAAATAGAATTTAGCAGACATTTGGCATTTCTGTTTGATGTTAAGTTTAGATGCAGAGTGCACGCGATGTATATGTATATATATGAAACGATCCTCAAGCACATTTAATTTTAAATGTACCGTGAGAATTCAGGTCAAAGACCTCTGTCTCAATTGAGCTTCATCTTCTGTACCTACATTGGCTCTCCGTTTAAATATCCTTACTCGCGCGTTTTACTTACTATTTTCACGAGTAGTATTTCTGCCGGTATATTTCGCAAGTTGCAGTACATAAATCTCGATACGTAGCAATTACTTTCAACTTAAATCACAGCGTCACGATGCAGCTGGCCATCGCCGAAAGTCATTATGCGGTTAGCTTGCGATTCGCAGTTTATCGTGAATGCCGATCGATCGTATCTTTTGAATCGCAAAGAACTCACGCTCGAAAACTCGCTCGAAGGACTCATTTGGCACGTGATCGTTCCGTTAAAGAAACTCGCTTTAACGAGACTAGCAAACCTAGTCAAACAAAGTCAAGGACGATCGCGTTAAGATACGATGTTCTCTCTTATCGATCATATTATTAGGGAACCTCGATGGGGTTCGAGTCATTGCGAGATTAAACCTGAAAAAGCTCACGAAGCAATTTAGCTAAACTTTAAACCTTTCTTTTTTTTTTCGTGGAGAAAACTAATCTTTATTTAATCAATTAGGAAACAACATATTAAAAACTGATGACATATTAAAATATAATATTTTAGAAACATTACTTATTGTTAAAGCTGAATCTTTTAATATCATTTAATACATCAAATGTATTATTTGCTATTTTGTCACTGATATAAGTTTATTATATTATTAGTTTAGTATTATTGAGTATACTATATCTACATTTTTAATGTTATTATTTTCCATGTTATTGCAAATTATTTTTAATTTGGATTATTTTCTGTTAATTTTATTAATATTAAAAAATTATCTATTGTATTTGTGATTCCTAGCGAAAGGTTTATTTCATAAGAATAATTTGCTTAATTTTTTATAAGTTTTGTATGATGTATATTTAATTTTCATTTTACATCAATTTTAGAAATTGTGATGTTGGATTATTGCGACTTTTAAAAGCTATAAAACTAAGAGAAGTAGGCCAAAGAAGTATGCTTCCACTTTACTTCTTGCTCAATAAATGGAGTTTTAACTGATGTCATTATAACGTTACTGCAATATTAAGAATATAATCTGGAATTTTTGCATTTTCACAAAGCTCTCGAAAGACATTAAAACAAAAAGATTATATGGCTTAAGTTGTCAAAAAGAGCTGAATAAATATGCTTATCTTTATTTAAGATTAGATATTTCGTAAATAATTTCATACGGAAATTATTAATAACGATCTTAAGCGTGCCCATTCCACAATATCAACGCGATAATCCGCTTATATCGTTGATTATAGCGGGCTTCCACTAATAATCGTTAAGCAAGCATATGCCGAACCGTGTTACAAATTGTTATTAAATTAACCAAAGTGTAATTACATGATCAATTTTCCGTGTAAATTAGGTTCGACACATAAATTTTGCAACAAACATTATTTTCCGGTGCATTATTTTGTTTTTATAATTAAATAGCTTTTCGATCCCAAAATGACCATTATATA